ACTATGATTAACCCAAATAAAAATAGTCTGAAATCCGAGCTATCAAAATCCATCTTCATCAGCACACCCGCAGGCAGCAACACACCAGCAGGCCTTTGCCATCATCAGCAGACCAGCAGGCAACAGCACATCCTACCAGCAGACCAACAGAACATCATTCACCACTAATTCATTAACTAGTGTCTAATGGACAAGAATATACAGTACGACATAGTCAAGGTGTGTTCAGAATTTTAACACAAAACTCAGAAGCAAGCATTAGTAGGGAAAATGGAAAATGTTAATGGTTCGATCACAAACCTAGCTAGTCCATCAGGTTGATGACAGCAGCTACATCATCCTCGTCTCCATTCTGCATCGATTGACTTCCAGCTCCATCTGTTACAAAAAAATATGGTTAGAAAGATCAGAAACCTAAGTTAATGAACTAGTTATAACAATTTCATCTTAGACAAACCAGTTAGTTACATGCATACTCTTCCACCGAGGCATCATCCATTGCCATAGCTGAGAAAACCCCCTCCAAAGCTTTCAAATCCGAGGCAGACACTACAAGACAGATAAAAGAAAAATTAATTTATAAGCTTTCTAAGCAAGAAATGGAAAACACAGCAAAACAGTAAAAAAGAGGAGTAAACCAGAAATCACCTTTGCTTTCATCTTGAATCCATGTCCTCAATATCATCATTGCTTCAACTGTTACGGGATCAAGCCTGCTCCGATGGGGGTCTAAAAGCCTCCCACCAGAACGGAAGGCAGATTCAGAAGCCACACTTGTAACAGGGACAACAAGTAAATCCCTTGCAATGTCTTGCAAAATGGGATACTTGGCACCAATGAACTTCCACCAAACAAGCACATCAAAATATGGTGTTCTAGGATGAACATCCTCGGCTAAATAGTGATCTAACTCACTGGTTACCACTGATGTTCAGATCAAAATCCAGATCTGTAGCCGAAGAAGAAGGATGGGAAGTAGAAGAAACAACAGTGTTCTTAGAGGATTTCCTATGATACTCGACAACCAAGTCAGCAAAAACATCTCTGACCCTTTCAATCACAAGGTCGGTATTTGAAATACCAAATTTGGTAACTGAGTACCCAACCAAATCCAGTTTGTACCGCGGATCCATCACAACAGCCACAGCCAACAACAAATGCATATCATCCCAGTATTTGATAAACTTATCCCACATGTTCGCAGCCATAGAAACGATCATCGGATTATGATCCACTAACCATTCCATCAAACGCAACCTCAAGTCACAAACTTTAGCAAAAAACAGATTGTCTGTAGGGTAGTTCGAACAAGAAAATATAGCTGTTATGTCCTTGAAAACCTCAAGTTTTCCACACAAAATTTCAGCAAACTCTCACTGCTCGTTACTTGGCAAAGAGTTGTATTGAGGTTCCCTTATTTTCATAAGGGAGAACACATCTTTATAAGGGATAGCAGCAGAAAGCATCTCATATGTAGAATTCCACCGAGTGGGACAATCCAACACCAGTTTCTTAGAAACAGCTAGCTTTAGTTGCTGGGCAGTTCCATGGAAAATTTCAACTCTCCTAGGGGTGCATGTCCAGAATACCACACTCTCCCTGATGTTATCAATTCCATCTTTAAGAACATCTAGGCCATCCCTCGCAATCAGATTAAGGATGTGAGCAGAGCACTTCATATGGAGAAGTGTCCCATCCCTAATCAAATTAGATAGGACCAGCCTTTGTTTAACTAGATTTATCATGGAATCATTGGTAGTACAATTGTCAAGAGTAATTGTCTACAATGTACTATCAATGTTCCATGATTGGAGGCATTTAACGAGCTTTGCAGCCAACCTCTCACTAGTGTGGGGTGGGGGGCAGGGAGATAACCAAACATAATGAGATGGTTCCTAAGAATCCAAAAATTACCTATGTAATGGGCAGTGATCAGTGGTAACAGCTATTCTCCCTCTGTTTTGGTCCATGACCCTTTGAATTTTAGATCTCTAGAACCCATAAATAGTCACGATGTCTTTTTTTATGGTATTTCGGGTTGGGACTTTGAAAAGAGGGTTCAAGGTGCAACAAAACCTTTTGAAGTATAGGTGGTCAAAAATAGAAAGTGGATACTCATGCACCAAGATCATGGTGCAGAGCTCCTTTCTAGACACCTCACTATTGAATTGATTGGTACTCATGTCAGCTGTACCATTCACATTGTGGTTAGCACCCAGAATTTTTTGACTCCCATCATGTATTTTCTTATGAACACTTTATTCCTATGAGTCCTAAGATGGGAGGTACCACTACTAGATTTCCCAGCCAACACCTTCTTGCAGTAGTTGCATTTTGCTTTCAAAATCCCATTTACCATCATCCTAGTGAAGTGAGGCCAGACATCAGACTTTAAAGACCTACTAGCACCTAAGGGAAGTTGTGGAAGAACATCTTCTGAATGGTTATCAGGATTACCAGCAGGATTGACATCAGCATCAACATGTGCATTCACTGGGTGTACAGGATCCATCTGGTTAAGTGGAATGAATAACAAAAATGATTTAGAAAGAAGTCCAATGATTTTCGTATTATTTAATTCAAACAGATTAGGAGTTTAGTATATACAGATTAGTTGACTGGCTTTTGATTTGACACTACTACATAAGGAGTTTCTAACTTAACAGATTAAAAGGAGATTAAGAGATTAGAGTAATTTACAGATTAGCAGTTTAACAGTCAACATCCTGCAGTTTTCTAACTTAAGCAGATTAAGGGATGTTGTGTTTAACATTACTAGATTAGTGGATTAGTCCCTTTGAACTTAACAGTAGAGATGTGTTAAGTTTAGCTTAACCAAATTAACAATGTGAGCATTAGTCATTAGCATACACCAAACACTAAACATCTATGAACAACCAAACACCAAACAACTTCAGTGTACGTACAAAACTTCAAACAAGTAATTGTCTAGTTTACTAACTTAACACCAAACACCAAACATCTATGAACAACCAACAACAAACAAGGGTCTTCGGCTTACCTCAGCAGAGAGCAGAATGTAGTTGTTGAAGCACCAACTGCTTGACAAGACTTCCAAACAGCAAGCTACATAAAACAAAATAGCAGGAAAATTAAGGAACTTAGCATATCTGATTATGACAAACTAAGTAACCAGAACTGACACGGAGAGTTGTATGCTAAACTTACTGATAATTAGGGAAGGCTGCTGCAGATGAAGCACAAGCTGGTGTCTGCTTGATGAGACTCGCGAGCAACAAGCTGCAAAAAGAAAAGACCAAAGCAGCAGGAAAAATTAAAGGATTATCGTTTCTAATCCTGGCAAACTAAGCAAGCACCATCACGAAATAATGATCCAAGTACTGGGTAATAAACTTACTGACAAGATTGAATGACGAAAAGGGAGATTTCGATTCCTGGAAGGCTTGCGTTTCTGGATTTAGGGTTCGAATTCTGGAAGGCACCAGTTTCTGGAATTAGGGTTCGACTTTGATAAACTACAAATGAACAAAACGATGCAATTAGTCGCCCATTTATACAGATATAAGCACAACTGGATTAAGGAAAGAATGAATCGAATACTTATCTCGAATTCTCGATCTAGGAAAGAAATCGTCTGCATGCATGATTTGAGTTTTCTGTTCCATCGATTGAGACATTTTCGATGACTGGGGGCTTGATTAAGGGTAAGATCAAGGATTATTGGTGATCAGATCGTAGATTTTGGTGGGAAATTAGTAGAGAAAGGAGAAGAATTCGTCGGAATCGTAGGGATTTGCCCAGAAATCGTCGTTTCGATGGCTTAGGTTGAGAGGAAATCGGGGACGAAAAGGCGGCTGCGTTGGTGAAAATGGCTTCTGAAGCCCCTAACCCTAAATTCCAGGTTTATATATGGTATCCTTTACGGCGTCGTATTGCTATCGGGCCGGGTCACGGTGCGGGGATCACAATATTCGTCCCCAGTCCGTCACCGTCATCTGCGGGTCTCGGGCAAGCCCGTAACCGTCAACTTACCCGGTATCGCGGGTTTTGGCCCATTACTATCGGGCGGGGCCCGTCAGATGTCCAAAGCCCGCGGACCCATTGCCATCTCTAAATATCATATCACAGTTACATCAACTCGTTAATAAGCAAGTAGATTAATGTAAATAGCAAATTAACCACCCACACATCCTCGCACCTGAGACATATTTTAAATTCAAATTTGATCAATAATATATATATTTCTAACTCCATCAACAACGACTTCGTAGACAACGAGCATCAAACAACCTCATTTCGTTAACAACGATATGTATATACCGAGTGATATGCTGGTTGGTGAACAGCCACAGAGACGAGCTCTACAATGGACTTTAATTCTCTCCGGCCAGCTTCTGGCGGCTAGCTAGCTGGTTCAATTTCTAGCTGTTGTCGGCGAGTAAGGATACCTCATAAATCGATGCGCCCCTTACTCTCCAGCACAACGATGTTCCGGTCCCTTTTATGGAAGTGTCACAATGCAGCAGTAAATCCCGCCCCTATAAAAACCACATTTGATTACTAACCCTCAATGCAGAAGAACACATAAACAACACCTTACCATTGCAATGAAGACTCCCAGTTCCCAATTTTCATGGTTTATGGCCGTCGCCGCCGTCGTCGCTTCTTCGATGATACTGGGTTGCTGTGGCAATGAGAGCTCCCCTGAGGACAGGCAGGCATGTATTATATCCAAAACTTACTTTCATACAATTCCCCAGTGTCCTAACTGCGCAAGTTGGACTCTACTTGCAGGTGTACATAGTCTACATGGGCGATCGCTCGCGCAACATTGAGACTACAACATCTGCTTCTGCTGTTCACATTAGCCTCCTTCAAAAGGTCACCGGCAGGTAAAAAAAAAATGTCTACCGGTTTTTTCTATTTATCGTAGAACACGGGTGATCGCGTTGGCTCCGAGTTTTGGTCTTAAAAGTGTGATTGATGTTATCATTTCTCGAATTATTGTATTTTCATATAGCGTGAGCCTTGCTGCCGAGTCCTTGGTTCACAGCTACAGCAAGAGCTTCAGTGGCTTTGCCGCCAAGCTGACAAAGGCCGAGACAGAGAAACTGTCTGGTGTGTGAATTCATGAAATATCCAACTATACATATGATTTTTTTTTTTAACACCCTCTATTTCCTGCAAGATTTTGTCATAATTAGCTCATTTTTGTATATAGGCCACGAAGGTGTAGTGTCCGTTTTCCCTAGTCAGTTGAGGCAATTACACACGACCAGATCATGGGATTTCATAGGCTTCCCTCAAACTGTCGCAAGAGCGACCGTGGAGAGCGACGTTATCATCGGAATGCTCGACACCGGAATCTGGCCGGAATCTCAGAGCTTCAACGCTTCTGGGTACGGCCCGCCTCCACAGAAATGGAAGGGGACCTGCCAATCCTCTTCCAATTTCACCTGTAACAAGTGAGCCTCCTACAACCTCCTCTTTCTTTCTTCATCATTATATATAGTATCGGGGACGGAGCTAGGTAGGCTACAAGGGGACTCCGGTCTTCTCGAGAATTTTGAAATTACGTACAAAATTCTTTAGATTTGAAAAATTATTAACATACAAAAGTTGTGGATTTTTTAAACGTAATGTGCGCAAAATCGTAACACAAAAAAGTTTATAGTCCAACAGTTAAAATGACTGACCTATATCTTATCGATGTGGGTTTGAATTCCGTAAGCTGATTTTTTTTAAGTTTTATTTGATCAAATATTTAATTGTTTAACTTGCACATTTTGTTTTATAAGTCTTGTATTTTCAAATTAGTTGAATTAAATTCTTCAATTTTTTTTTTAATTCGTATGTTTAAGGACTTTAGTGGGTATAAAATTAATTAATATTTTTCAAGCAATAATATCAATATTGGATATTCATTTTCAAAACATGAAAATATTGAAAAACCTATTACACATTGAAATCCATGATTAGTGTTGTATTCGTAATGTACTCATTTATCTTAAACATAACATTACATAAATTTCATATTTTATAGTAATTTGACTATCTCCAATAACATTATTAATTTTCCTCCTGTAATTTTCCTTCATTTTTCGCGATAATACAATGAATAATCACGTCCCCTCCCAAATTCAAATCCTGACTCATAGAGTACAATATTGACTTACTACATATCAATATATTATAACAAATCTAATACTTTGACAGCAAGATAATCGGAGCCAGATTCTACCACGCCGGCCAAGACCTCAACGACGGCGAAACCATATCTCCGCGGGACACCGAAGGCCACGGCACCCACACCGCATCCACCGCAGCAGGAAACATCGTGACTCACGCCAGCCTCCTCGGCCTCGCCGCCGGGTGTCAAGCTCCATGAGCAGAGGAGAAGAAAAGGAAGAAGATGAAGAAGACGAAGAACAGTCCAACGAGCAGCAACGGTCGACTGAACAAGGAGGGAAATCTGGAAGACAAAAAGGAAAAGAGCAGCTAATTACAAACGGCAACGTTTAGTATATATTTGTCTATATTAGTTTATTTATTTCTTATTAGCTGTAACTAGTAGTAGAAAGCCACTTGTCTTCTTTTTGTTGGACGAGTTGGTTATTGTTAGTTTGTCCTGTAGCTCTGCCTACTCTGTACATATTCTGCCGCAAGGCTGCAATGGAAAGTAAGAAATCATTCCACAATCCTCTCTTTTATCAATTATTCTCATGGTATCAGAGCCTCTGGCTTACCTCACCTAGGGTTTCGTGACCTCTCGAAAGCACAACAATGGCGGCTACTCAGGACGAAGCTACTGGAGAGACAACCAGAGTCCTCACAGGAGCACAGAACACTGTCAATCAACAACAACGACAAGCTGTGGATCCTTACTACGTTAACCCAAATGAAAACCTGTCCCAAGGTATTATTTCCATCAAACTCGACGGAACCAACTATCATGTATGGAGTAGATCAATGCGAATAGCACTTAAGACCAAGAAGAAGCTTGGGTTTGTTAATGGTACCTTACCTATGCCTGAACCAACAGATCCAGATTATGAAATCTGGGATCAGAGTAACACCAACGTAATGGGTTGGATTTTGAATTCATTGATTGATCCCATAGCTGAGGCTGTGATGGATAATGAGACTGCTCAGGACTTATGGAAAGATCTGCAGGAAAGATATGGAGAAGCAGATTCAGTTAGACTAGCTCATGTTAAAGGGCTAATTGCATCTTGCAAACAGGAGAAGAGTACTGTGACTGAGTACTACAACAGATTAGGTGTATTCTGGACAGAATACATGTCATTCAAGTCTATTCCACCATGTGAATGTGGTGATACACCTCATACCATGAACTGTGTAACCTATGCTGCTGTCAAAGAATCCCAGGAACAAGATCACACTATTGACTTCATCATGGGTCTGAGTGATGCCTTTGAAATGACTAAGAATCAACTGTTGATGATGGATCCAGCTCCAAGCCTCAAGGTGGCATACAAGTATGCTCTCAAACTGGAAAGACAGATGACAAAACAACCACCCAAAGAAGTAACAGGAGTGGATTCAGTAGCATTGGCTGCTGCAAATCAAGGAAGAAACAGAGACCAAAGAGTTGAGTATCCAAGAGGTGGAAGACAAAACACATACCAAGGGAACTACCCTAGCAATCAACAGAGAGGAACCAATGAAACAGGTGGAGGTGGCCAACAAAATCTGTTTTGCAACTACTGTAAGAGGACTAACCATGTCATGGCAGATTGCTGGAGACTTAAGAGAAAAAGAGGAGAGTTAGCAGGACCAAACTTTGCTGGAGCAGCCACATCTGGTGGTAATCATGATCAGGGAATCAGCAGTTTCTCAGCTGCAAATGAACAGGACAACAGAAGTCAGAACACTACCACACTTCAATTGACAGCTGAAGATTGCAGCAGACTGATGATGCTATTGCAGCAACAAAACACTGGAAGTCAAGCAACAAGCCAACCAAATATTCAACCTCAAGCTCACTCAGTCTCAAGACACATTAATCAGATGCCAGACAATGCAGGTAAATTCATCCTATCTACTTTTACTGCCTGTCAACAGAAGGAATTGTTGAATAGTTGGATTATAGATACTGGTGCATCTGATCACATGTGCTGTAGCCTTTCCTCTTTCACCAAACACTACCCTGTAGAAAATGTGTTTGTTACCTTACCAACCAGTGCTAGAATCAAGGTAGCAAACATTGGAACAGTTAGAATCAATGACAACCTGACCCTAAACAATGTCCTACATGTTCCCAGTTTCACTTTCAATCTCATTTCTGTCAGTTCCCTAACCAAAACTCTACCTATTACCCTAAGCTTTCAATCTGACTTCTGTGTTGTTCAGGACCTTCATACACAGAAGAGGATTGGTTTTGCAAAAGAGCTTAGAGGACTATACCACCTACACTCAGCCATTCACAACCTTGAACCAGCCATCAACTTAGTAGCAGCAGTGAGCAACTCAGAGAATCAAGACATGCACTTGTGGCATGCTAGATTAGGGCATCTTTCCAATTCCAGAACCAAACTACTTCAAAAATGTAATCCTGAATTGCCAGTGAATCTTGTTGATCACTGTGAGACATGTCATTTGGCTAGACAAAAGAAGCTGCCTTTCTCCTCCAGTTCTCATACTAGCAAAGAACCTTTTGAGATCATACACTGTGACATCTGGGGCCCTTTAAACACTACTTCCTATGATGGTTTTTCCTACTTCTTGACCATTGTAGATGATTTCTCTAGGGCTGTTTGGACTTATCTCATGAAAACTAAATCAGAGGCAAGACCTCTCTTGCAACAATTCTGCACAATGGTGCATAAACAGTTTGATAAACCTGTCAAAACCATTCGATCTGACCAAGGAAAGGAATTCCTCATGGCAGATTTCTTTAGAGAACATGGAATCACTCACCAAATGTCCTGTGTTGAAAGACAACAACAGAATGGAAGAGTAGAAAGGAAGCATCAGGACATTTTAAACATAGCAAGAGCCTTAAGATTCCAGTCTAATGTACCCTTAACTTTCTGGAGTGATTGCATACTCTATGCTGTTCACATCCTCAACAGACTTCCCACACCAATCCTCAACAACAAAACTCCCTTTGAGAAACTTTATAGCAAACCACCAGATTACACACCACTTCGAGTGTTTGGCTCACTATGCTATGCTTCTACCATAGAATCAGGAAGGACTAAGTTTCAACCAAGAGCTAGAAAAGGGATATTCCTTGGCATACTGCCAGGAATCAAGGGATACAAAATTTATGATCTCTCAACTAAACAAGTCTTTGCTTCCAGAGATGTGTCCTTTCATGAATCTATTTTTCCTTTTGCATCAACTGTTCCTCCTAATACCTCTAAACCTCCCTCACCTAATACCATTCCTCCTCCTGTCCCTTCATTCTTCTCATCTCAACCCTTTTCCCAAAACCCAGCACATGATCATTTGCATACAGGTCTAGATTCAGCTGTTCATACAGCTCCTAATGATGCACAGTCACCAGGTTTCATTGATTTTGAAACCATGGATGAAAACCATGCTGAGATTCAGAATGAAGAGGAAGCAGAAGGAGAAGGGGGGATTGACACAGTAACTCAATCGCCTCAAGCACCTATTTCCTCAAGAAAACCATCTACTCCTTTAAGGAAGTCTGGCAGGACAAGTAAACCACCATTGTGGCATCAGGACTATTTTGTTGGAAGTTCTCAGACCAAGTATCCAATATCATCTTTCATGGACTACAATCAGCTCAGTCAGGAATACAAACATTACTCACTTGCAGTAGCTGATCTGCATGACCCACAGACTTTTGATGAAGCCATGATGGAAGAATGTTGGAGAGAAGCAGTGAAGGAAGAATTAAGAGCATTAATAGCCAATCACACATGGGACATAGTGGATTGTCCAGTTGGAAAGAAACTAATTGGTAACAAGTGGATTTTCAAGACTAAGCTACTGGCAGATGGTGCAATTGAAAGGTACAAGGCAAGGCTCGTGGCACAAGGATTCACACAAATACCAGGAGTGGATTTCCTAGACACCTTCTCACCAGTAGCAAAGATCAATACCATCAAAATTCTCATGGCAGTGGCAGCTATCAAGAATTGGCACTTAAGCCAAATGGACATCAGCAATGCTTTTCTAAATGGAGACTTAGAGGAAGAAGTCTACATGAAAATACCATTGGGAATTGAAGGAATGGAAGGGAAAGCTTGCAGGCTAAGAAAATCCCTTTATGGATTGAAGCAGGCAAGCAGGCAGTGGTATGCCAAGCTAACAGAAGCACTAGTGAACTTTGGCTATACTCAATCCTATTCAGACTATTCACTTTTCACAAAGAAGAATGATAAAGGGATTGCAGTTATCCTAGTCTATGTAGATGATCTGATTTTCTCTGGAGATAATGAAGAACTCATTCAGGAATCCAAGGAGTTTCTATCTAAGCAGTTCAAAGTCAGAGACCTTGGGAAGTTGAAATACTTCCTTGGTTTGGAAGTGGCAAGAAGCAGTTCTGGAATTTCTGTGACACAAAGAAAATACTGTCTAGACCTACTTAAAGATACAGGGTTTCTAAATGGGAAACCGTGCAGAACTCCATCAGACATGAAGACTAGACTAACACAGTTTAGTGATGAACCACAAGCAGATCCACATCAATACAAATCACTGATTGGAAGGCTGGGCTATCTAACAACAACCAGACCAGACATATCCTTTGCTGTGCAGCAACTATGTCAATTTCAAGCTCAACCAAAGATCTCACATGTGAAAGCTGCACACAGAATACTCAGATACTTAAAGGGCTCCCCTGGTCAGGGTCTGTTCTTCGCATCAAACACAGATTTTAGCCTTACTGGCTATAGTGATTCAGACTGGGGGGCTTGCCCAGACACAAGGAGATCAATCACAGGCTATTGTACGTTTCTGGGAAGTTCATTGATTACCTGGAAAGCGAAGAAGCAGGCAATAGTCTCAAAGTCCTCTTCGGAGGCAGAGTACAGGTCCTTAGCACAGATGTCATGCGAAATCCAGTGGGTAACACAGGTGCTGAAGGATTTGGGAGTGAATTACAATGGGCCAGCAACTGCATTCTGCGACAACAAATCGGCGATTCATATGGCAGAAAACCCAGTGTTTCACGAAAGGACGAAACACATAGAAATTGATTGCCACATCATTAGAGAAAGAGTGAAGTCAGGATTGATTAATTTGAGATACGTTTGTACTGACCGGAACTTGGCAGATGTGTTTACAAAGGGACTCAGCGCGCACCGCTTCAAATGGATCATCTTCAAGCTGGGAGTATACGATATATACTCGCCAGCTTGTGGGGGGCTGTCAAGCTCCATGAGCAGAGGAGAAGAAAAGGAAGAAGATGAAGAAGACGAAGAACAGTCCAACGAGCAGCAACGGTCGACTGAACAAGGAGGGAAATCTGGAAGACAAAAAGGAAAAGAGCAGCTAATTACAAACGGCAACGTTTAGTATATATTTGTCTATATTAGTTTATTTATTTCTTATTAGCTGTAACTAGTAGTAGAAAGCCACTTGTCTTCTTTTTGTTGGACGAGTTGGTTATTGTTAGTTTGTCCTGTAGCTCTGCCTACTCTGTACATATTCTGCCGCAAGGCTGCAATGGAAAGTAAGAAATCATTCCACAATCCTCTCTTTTATCAATTATTCTCACCGGGACGGCCCGCGGAGGGGTCCCGTCCGCCCGGATCGCCGTCTACAAGATATGCTGGACCCTCGGGTGCTCCGACGTCGACATCCTGGCAGCCTTCGACGACGCCATCTCCGACGGAGTCGACATCATATCGCTGTCCGTCGGAGGCGCGCCGACGGACTATTTCCAGGACGCCATTGCAATTGGGGCCTTCCACTCCATGAAGAACAGCATCCTGACGTCGAACTCGGCCGGGAATTCCGGCCCGGCTGCCGGAACGGTGTCGAACGTCTCTCCCTGGTCGCTTTCTGTAGCTGCCAGCACCATTGACAGGTAAATTACTCTCCATTTATAATCCAATCCACCAATTCAATTCAATCCATCCACTTAAATATCCAACTAATCCATTTCTTTTAAATTCTATCCATTTAATTCAAATCCAATTGGATTGGGATTAATGGATTAATTTTAGGGATGGTAACAAAATCCGAACCCACGGGTACGCTACCCGACCCAACCCAGTCAATGACGGGTTTTGGGCCGGGTTCAGATTTAAACCCGCTACACTATTCACGGGTTGGGCTGAGTTTGAGTTTAGGTATACCCGTCTCATGGGTACCCGCTTACACCCATATAATTAATTTTTTCGGTATATTATTTAATATTCTAAGCAATATATCTTTCTTAAACAACTAATCTTCTTTATGTTTGTGGAGACATGTCTAATTTGATATTATGGAGTGGAGAGTGAAAAAGTTTAGTTGACATGGAGCTTTCAAGTAATCATGTTGTTTATAGATGTTTATCTTTAATTTTGAACCATTTGTATCGATAATTTGCGATTTGCTTGTATGCTCTCTAGATTGGTTTTTTTTTATGGATAATTTGTATGAGAAAATTTATGTTTTAGACTTTTATTTTGAAAGAAACTTGTTATTATAAATTTTTTACACAAAAATCCACGGGTACCCATGAACCCGCGGATACCCAGTGGGTTGGGTTGGGTTTGAGTTTTTCAAACCCAATTGGTTTCACCTCGAGTTTTTTTGGAGATAAACCCATGAGTTCGGCAAAACCCGTCCCAACCCGACCCATTGCCATCCCTAATTATATTCGTAGATAGTTGGCAAATTACAGTTAAGTATCTATACTTTTTTATATTTCAGTACATGAAATTTATCATTTAATAAGAGAAAATATCATTGGAGAATTACATTTTAGTACCTAAATTTTTTATTACGACATTCTAGTACCTAAATTTTCAAAACTTACACATTGATATAATCCTTAGACGTCATTTGGATTCATTAATCAATCTAACAATCCATGAATTCAGCAAGACTCCGCCAACCAATTCACCCTATTAATGGATCCAACTCATTTGCTGCTGACAGGAAGTTCGCTACTGGAGTGAAGCTGGGCAACGGCAGGACTTATGTGGGAGGCTCGATCAATACTTACGAGGCCAGCAGGATGTATGGTCTCATCTATGGCGGAGACGCGCTGAATCGGACGTCGGGATCGGATTCGAGGAGCTGCGGTGCAGGAAGCTTGGACAGGGATTTGGTGCGGGGGAAAATGGTGCACTGTGACGGTGTGAGCAGAGGAGATGAACAAGCTCGAGTGGGCGCCGTCGCTTCGACGATGAGTCTTCCTCCCGATACTCCACTTGACGCGGCGTTTTCGTTTCTTTTACCGGTTTCCGTCTTGACCAATGCTGACAGTGCTCAAATTTTGGAGTACATCAACTCGACCAGGTAGATGATTCAAAAAAAAATTACACGTCGTCCTATTATTGCATGCATGTGACCGCCGGTGATGACCGGCTCCGGCTGGGTTTGAACCGGTTGTGTTAGTGGTTGAGAGTAATCGGGGTTACCGACCGGTTTGAACCGTAATAGGTCGTTGTTTCGGTTTGGCATTTTAACCGTGCTGGTTGACCGGTAGTAATAGTAATTAGTTCTAGGTAATTAACTGGTATATTATTAAGGGTAGTAATCACATGTGGGGTTATGTTTGTTGTTCCAAAACTATCCTGACCGTTGGTTTAAGAACGAGGAGATCGGATGGTGGATGGATGTAGCTAGTAGGATTAGATGCTTTGAATTTGACAAAAGAGTTTGTGACAACGTACCCTTTATAAAGAGTTTGCACCTTAACATATTCCTACAATAGTGATTTTCTTACGAATCGGTATTACCTATCAATCCAAAAACTACACGCGAGTATGGAGAAAGAGTTGCAAAACCTCTTCTTACATGGGTATGAGGCAGACATGGATTTGGACTTTTCTAAATGAGAATGTGATGGCCGGTTTAAAAAAAACCGCTCCATTATTAATTGTCATCCCTAACGACCGACTAGCTTATTTCGGTCTGGTTTCAATCCTGCGTGTTTAGAAGAATTATTAAGTCTTGATTGAATGCTTATTATTGTTCTTGCAATTTTGGATTAGTGATCCAACTGGACTGATATTCAAGACTCGTGCCATCATCGATAATTCATCACCTCATGTGATCGATTTCTCTTCAAGGGGCCCTAACCCTATAACAACAGATATTCTCAAGGTAATGAATCCTTCCATTTTGTTTTTGGTTTTCTTTCTTTAATTAGGCTTAGTCTTAATGCCCTCGCGGATGTACTCGATCGCAGCCTGACCTTACAGCACCTGGAGTTGATATCCTGGCAGCATGGTCTGAAGCTACCACAGTGACGGGACAGGACGGAGACACGAGAACGGTACCGTTTAACATAATCTCCGGCACTTCCATGTCCTGTCCCCATGCCTCAGCAGCAGCAGCTTACGTTAAATCGTTTCATCCTACGTGGTCTCCAGCCGCCATCAAGTCTGCTCTAATGACAACAGGTAGGTAGCTTGCTAGCTACGTAATATATATAATCTTCATGGTTTCCCACTCGTTTTTTGAGATATATGACGTCCTTCATGTCTGACATTAATGTTCACTGCAGCTCGTCAGCTCAGTGTCGAGGACAACAGTGATGCAGAGTTTGCATACGGGTCGGGCCAGATCGATCCAATCAAAGCCGTGAATCCGGGACTAGTATACGATGCAGGGGAGATCGATTACGTCAGGATGTTGTGTGGGCAAGGTTACAACGCTACACAGCTCCGCCTCGTTACGGGAGATTCGAGTGCTTCTTGTTCTGAAGCGACCGATGGGACGGTGTGGGATCTGAACTATCCTTCTTTCGCTCTGTCGTCGGGAAAACCTATGGCGTCGGTGGCTCGCGTGTTCCATAGAACCGTTACGAACGTGGGTTCAGCGGCCGCGACGACTTACAAGGTCTCCATCAGTGGCCCAGGACTAGGAGCACTTAAGGTCCGAGTCGAACCAAAGACGCTCGCTTTCAACAAAATTGGGGAGAAACAATCGTTTGTTGTGACGGTTGAAGCTGCGCTGGAAAGGGAAACAACTATGTTGTCGGTATCTTTGGTTTTTAGCGACGGGATCCATACTGTCAGGAGTCCGATTGTTGCATTTGTTGCACAGTAACGAGATTGGTGGATGATCGAATTTGTCTGTGTGAGACAGGATTGTTACGTTGTTGTAATCGATAAAAATAAAACTAAATTGTACGACGACGACAATAGCTCAATTTGGTATCCACTATAATTAACTTTCCTCGTATTTCGTTCTTTTCTAGAGTTTGTTCGATTTTCTTTCAACTCTACTATTGGGACATTGTTACAATAATTTGCATCTTCATTATATGTTTATTGGATAATTTTCTTAATACATTGTTTCACTAGAAATACCAACTATTGCCATTTTATTACCTCGTTTTCCAAGTGGTAGCATGCATTACTATATGACTCTGGGATTGACGGTGAAATTAGTATGAGGAACAAATCTGGTGCGTAACTCTCAAAGTTACACATCATATACAACTAGTCTTGCATAGGGTCGTTTGGTTTTGATACAGATACCATACCGAATACCGGCGGTATCGGTATTCGATCGCGTGATTTGGCGTACGGTATACTTGATAATACTAGGTAATATACCGAAATAGCATATACACATCAGATCCCGGGGAGGTTGTTCTTAAACAGCTCGTCGGTTTTGGCGTCTTTGTTTGCTAAGGCTGGGAAGAAAGGGGTCAATTAGGATTCCATGATTTTCTGGGAGGTCAGCTTGCCTTCCATTTCTCTAATTTTTCCCCAGTTCTTATCCATTGCTCTGGGTATTTTTTTTTTTTTGTTGCTCAAATGTAATCGAAGATGGTGATTGGGTGCTGGTAGCTATGGGAAGATGTTTGGATATTGTTTTTCGGTTTCCTTTAAAGTTACTTTTCCTCCTTGGCAGAAGGATTATTGGACCACCTGCTCTCACTGCAATTTTATCTATGATGTATGGATGTTCTAATATTATTTAGCATAGATCGCTAAAGGTTTTAACTTTCAGATCAACCACTTTTCCCAAGTTATGGATCAACTTTCGGTATCCGGTATACCGGTTAAAATACCGGTAATCGACTATCCTAATATTCGGTATACCAGATAATTTTTCAGTATCGGTATTCGGTATAATTGTCGGTATACCGGATACCGACCGATTACCACCCCTATTCGTATGGTACAACTCAAAATCAATATTCAAATTTAATTATACACATATGCATAACTTTTGTAGTTGCAGTAGTACAATTATAGCAATTAGGGTTTAGCTTCCTCGCAATTAGGGTTTAGCACCATACTAATAATGAGTTGCAGTAGTATAATTGTAGTTGTAGTCATGGTTTTTCTAGTTTGAGAAGTTAATTTATGTAGTTGTAGGAAACCGCGACGCCATTATAGTTGCAGTTATTGTTTTTTTAAAGTTGTAGTCGTTATCTTTTGCAACTGTAGAACTACAACTTCGGTACCAATTAATGTATCTTGTCCTGAATGTTTCTCGTTTTAGAACATATGTACTCACTGGCTTGAAAGTTTGCATAGCGCAATCATACATTGTGCTTAAATCAACCGTTAATATTGGAGATCGTAAAGATTCGAACACACCACCCACCAATTGGTCAAACTAGCTCTGATACCATTTCAAGAACAAGTTGATCCCAATAATTAACTAAAGTTTTTGAAAAGAAGAAAAAATTAATTATGAATCATATACCACTTTCTTATACTTTATAATTCAGAGCAAACCGTCTCTCCTGAAAGATACTATTTATCGGGGAAAACAAAGAAAAGACAAAAACAAGTTGAAAAGCAACGCCTGGCGAGTTTGACGTTCCACTCAACATCATCATCATCAGCTCACAATGTACTTCCGTAAACAACTAAGGACGATGCAAATATGCTGATGGGGGCGAAGTACTCAACAACAATGGTTTCTCCAGCTCCGAACCTGCAATTTTGTTGTTTGGATTTTCCCAATGGCGCATCACAAGTGATATGATACGAAAACGAAAGACCTTAATTATATATATACACATATGGTTTTGCACAGGGAAAGGAGTACAACAATAGCCAAACGAAGTTGAAGATAGGATCTTCAATGGCGGGAATGAAACGGATTCTGGTTCTGACGGCTATCATCGCTTGTTGCCTGATGATGCAGAGTTACACTGTCAATGGGACCTCCAGCGATGACAAAAAGGTATGTCCGTAGCTTATATTTAGGATTTGTTTAATAACTCGAATTGTTGGAAGTGGTTCATGTATGGAATTTAATCACTTTCTTACACGTCCCATCAAACGAAAGCTAACTCATGAGCTTTTAAGACAACTGTTAGTATTAGGTGTCGTGAGGAGAACACATGAACTCGCGAACAAACCAGTTTTGGTGCCAAGTTATAATCCAACTGGGAATCATATATGTATTTTCATTACTTTCTTATACGTTCCCTCAAACGAAAGCGAACTCATGAGCTTAAATTTTGCATGGGTTTGTCATACTATGTGTTTTTAACACAATGATAGTGTTGGAAATTGTGCAGACTTGAACAAATAAACTCACGATTAAACCAGTTCCAATATCAAGTTATAAATAAACTTGTCCAAATAACATGAGTTATTTATTCACCAAAGCCTGTAATTTAGTAAGAAAGAAAAATATAGTCCTCAATATCTTTTTAGCTCAATTGGGATATTTTTTTTATAAAAGCAATACTCACTTATAGAAGAAAAAAATATAATTTTGAGAGTAATTCTTTGTGTAAAGTTCGAAATAAAACAATAATTGATACCGTAACGGATTAAATATCGGAGGTTAACCATAAAAAAATATCAGAGGTTTATTATCAATAATTTAAAACAAAAAATTTACGAATACAATTTCCCAAATTATATTTCCAGCCTAAATTATAGTAAAAATTGCTAACCAACTAGGCTAACCTGTTGTAACTTGTAACTTGTAGGGCTGGGAAACGGTGCGGTCTGGTCCAGACCAGACCATATATACGGTCTATGGTCCAGACCGAGAGGCTAAAGTATAGACCACAGACCAGACCACAGACTATACGGTTCGGTCCAGACCATGCCTGTGCGGTCTGGTTCGGTCTGGTCTGGTCCAGATAGATCACACTCAACGAAAAATGAATAATTTGTTTAGTCAATCACACAAAAAATTGAACCAATAACCAAGAAAAATAATTGTTATTTGCCTTAAAACATTAATCCTAACATGCATGAATAATTTTGATACTCTAAATCTTAGTACATAACAAAGATACAAAGTAAAAACATCCCAGCTTGCACCATAACGTCATAAACATTAACATAATGTCATATGGAGACACTATTATCTCTACTCTTTGGTTAAATGTGGTTGTGAATGAAGGAGGGAAGAGATTCACAAAATTAAGGTTGAGACTTGGGTGTCGTTGTGGGAGTTTGGAGAGTGGTCGAATGGGCTGTTAACAAGTATTGACAAGTCAGTTGGGTCCACGGTTTGGTCCGATAAACCGCGGTCTAGATCAGACCAGACCAAGAGATCAAATCATAAAATAATACAGACCATGGACCAGACCAGACCATACTTCACGGTCTACGGTCCAGACCAAACTGTGCGGTACGGTTTGGACCACGGTTTTTCTAACGGTCTGGTCTATTTTCCCAGCCTAGTAACTTGTAAGGCTTGATGGCCCAATGAAGCGATATTAACAAAGAAGCTCACGGCTTCCGTGCCCTATTACAGATTGGGCCACCAAATGGTGTTCCAAATAACATGGGCTGTCTCTATTGTTTTGCAGCTATACATAGTGTACATGGGCCATAAGCCCAACACTGAAACTCCGGCTTCTGCTCTTCACCTGAGTCTCCTTCAACAAATCACCGGCAGGTGAGTCTACCAGTCCCAGCATTTCGCGGCGGTAGTCAATTCTTCTATTCCAACTTCGACGACAACCTTTGCAGTTTGCACTGACTTTTAACGGCTGCAAAATGATTTGCCTTCCCCCAGCGCAAGCGTTTCTTCCGATTCTTTGGTATATAGCTACAAAAGGAGCTTCAATGGCTTTGCTGCCAGGTTGACTGATGCCGAGAAAGATAAACTCTCCGGTAAATCGCCAACTCCTGTGATTCTTTCAATTTTCTTTCGCATGGCAAGAATTCTCGTTTGATTCGAATGCCTGTCTTTAATTATTTTAGGATATGAAGGGATAGTGTCAGTTTTCCCTAATCGGATTAGAAAACTCCACACGACGAGATCATGGGACTTCCTGGGTTTCCCTCAGAATGTGAAAAGAGCAACTGTGGAGAGCGACATTATCATTGGGATGCTCGACACTGGAGTTTGGCCCGAGTCGCAGAGCTTCGACGATTCTGGCTATGGCCCACCTCCACAGAAATGGGAAGGTGTCTGCCAAAGCTCTTCCAATTTCACCTGCAACAAGTAAGCCTAATCCTATAAAGGACTGTTCTTTCTCTTTACCCAATTCTGTAGTGTTGTGAATTGAAATGGTTTGATATTGCCGCTTTCCAGCAAGATCATTGGAGCCAAATTCTACCATGGTGGACGCAATTTCAGTGAAGGTGAAGTTCCCTCGCCAAGGGATTCTCAGGGTCATGGAAGTCACACTGCGTCCACAGCAGCAGGGGATATAATAACTCCAGCTAGTCTCCTTGGCCTTGCTTCCGGGACTGCCCGGGGTGGCGTCCCCTCCGCCCGAATCGCTGTCTACAAGATTTGCTGGGGAGATGGTTGTTGGGATGCAGACATTTTAGCAGCATTCGATGATGCCATTGCTGATGGAGTCGACATAATCTCCCTCTCGGTTGGTGAAAGTTCACCACGGGATTATTTTGAAGACCCTATAGCTATTGGGGCTTTCCATTCCATGAAGAAAGGAATTCTCACGTCCAATTCAGCTGGTAATGAAGGCCCTGCTCCTGGATCGGTCTCGAATTGCTCTCCTTGGTCGCTCTCTGTGGCTGCTAGCACCATTGACAGAAAGTTCACAACCGGGGTCAGGTTGGGTAATGGAAAAACTTATCAGGTGAGGTTTCTGAAATTTTCTTTGGCCTTGACTTCTTCTCCATGTGTGTGTGGAACATAACATGCTGCTTTCTTCCAATTTAGGGGATCTCTTTAAACACATACGCGGCCAGTAAGTCATACCCTCTTGTCTATGCTGGAGATGCAACGAATAAAACTTCAGGACACAATGCAGTTGGTTCAAGGTAAACATTGTTTGAGAATCAAATAAAGAGTACAATTTCATTTCAAGTTTTTGAAAATGGAAATGTGGATTCAGGAACAACTGATAGATTTTCTTGTTCTGATAAAAAAAACTCCAGGTACTGCGTTCCAAATAGTTTGGATAGGAATTTGGTGCAAGGGAAAATTGTTCATTGTGATGATGTTAGTGGAGGGCAGGAACCACTTGCAGCGGGTGCGACTGGGGCCATAATGACTACTTCGTATACCGAAGATGATGCATATCCCTTACTTTTACCTGTTTCCATCTTGACTGATGCTGAAGGAGCTACCATTGTGGAGTATATAAACTCAACTAGGTAGATTGAGAATGAAAATAAACAAGTTGCATTTTGCTGAAAATGCAAATAACGTTACCATCAGGAAATAGACACTACATCTTGTTAATTACATTCCTTTGATGTCTTTGCTAGTGATCCAACTGCTGAAATATTCACCACACGTGACTTTGTGGATAATTCATCAGCATATGTGATCTATTTTTCTTCAAGAGGGCCAAACCCAATAACAAGAGACATCCTCAAGGTAACATGAAATAGAAATTTCCAGTTGATGCCACTCTTTACAACTTATCTTGATGTTACATGGATTATATTATGCAGCCGGACCTTACAGCACCTGGAGTTGATATCTTGGCAGCATGGTCCCAAGATACAACAGTTACAGGTCTTCCTGGAGATAATAGGGTTGTCCCATACAACATAATCTCTGGTACTTCCATGTCTTGCCCCCATGCCTCTGCCTCAGCAGCTTACGTTAAGTCATTCCACCCTACATGGTCCCCGGCAGCCATTAAGTCTGCGCTAATGACAACAGCTCAACCCATAAGTGTTCCGGACATACCTGATGCTGAGTTTGGATACGGATCAGGCCAAATTCATCCTTCGAGGGCCGTGGATCCTGGGCTAGTATATGACGCTGGTGAGATTGACTATGTCGAAATGCTGTGTGGCCAAGGATACAACATTACACAACTGCGACTCGTTACAGGAGATCAGAGTTCTTGTAGTTCTGCAGCAACTAATGGAACCGCAGTGTGGGATCTAAACTACCCTTCCTTTGCGCTGTCATCAGAGAAGCTTAAGACTAGTGTTACTCGGGTGTTCCACAGAACGGTCACAAATGTTGGGTCTGCAACGTCTACCTACACGGCCATAGTGAATGGTCCAGTGGGCTTTGATACGATTAGAGTTGAACCAAATGTGCTTAAGTTCAAGAACATTGGGGAGAAGCAGTCCTTCGTTGTAACTGTGACAGCCCTGCTGGGGAGAACCATGCTGTCTGGTTCTTTGCTCTGGAGTGATGGGATTCATTCCGTGAGGAGTCCTATTGTCGCATTTGTGCCACCTCAAGAACGTCATTGATCAGCTCTCTTTAGTTTTGTGAGGTCAGGTTCGTCCATTCTCGGAATTGCTAGATGATAGACTTTACCACAGTTTCCAATAGTATCAGCATTAGTTGTTCTGCAAGTATTGCAGGTGATTGTAATTTGCATAATAATGTTATTTCCTTATCGATCATCAAGTAGGAAATGTAGTTTTGTGGGTGTGTTTTAAATGTAATCAGTGGCTTACTAGGCATCTCTGAGTTAATAAAATTTCCATTCTTGATTCTGCTTGAGGTGACTGGAAGTCAGATGCTTGGTTATGAAATAAAAAAGGTTCGACATTAGCAGCAGAAGCACTGCACTAAAAAGGGTATTTTGAATTTGTACAATAAACTCCCATTAAAATAAGATTTTGTATAGGACTCCCAATTGCTAGAAAGACTTCCACACCAATCTCTTCGCTTTAGTTTCTCCATTACCACTAGAAGGCCCTGTCGATAACTTTCAGGACTAGTTCTGTTGGGGGGAAATTGACTTTGTCAAAGCAACCAAACGAAGCTGTCGCTATAAAAGACATTCGAAAATCAGAAATTCAGTCAAAAGACTCACAGAGCTCGCCTGCCTGCCTTGTTTAACACTCAATAAACTATTAATACTAAACATTAGTGAGGGATTAACGTCGATTTCGATCTTCTACCAAAGCTAACACATTCTTGTCATTTTCCTCCATTTATCTAGCAAGCTGCAGCATCTACTTCCGGGTGCCGTCCCACTGCATAGAACAAGAATTCAAAAACCACATAGTATGGTAACCCTTCATTAACCTAAACCGAAAAGGGCGGTCCTATCCAGACTGCAATAAGCTAGCAATGGCTACATACGCTCTAGCTCGTCTATATAAGCTCCCACTCCAGTTGCATAGTAAAGACCAGCAACAGCAGCCCCTCTAACTTTCCTGATTAAGGCAATAAGCAGAGCTGCTAGCAGCTAGCGAAAACCTCAAAATGGCTAGCCAACTCTCTCCATTTTCACTGCTTCTCTCGGTCTGTCTCGCGATAATATCTCACTTGGTGATCAACTGCAATGGGGATTCAGATACCAGTACTGCACAGGCAAAAAGAACACAAAATTCCCTCTCTCCTTCCTGTTCATCTTTTTTGTTTGCAACACTGTCATTTTAGTATTTGATATAGAACTGGGTTTTGAGCTGAAGTTTAATGGTTAAAACAGGTGCATATAGTTTACATGGGAGACCTTCCAGAGGGCACTGCTACCATGTCAACAGAAGTCCACACCAATATGCTACATCAAGCTCTTGGCAGGTAAATGTGACTCTCAAACCTATTAAATTTCACCTCTGAAAAAAGGATCTTCAGAAATCTTACCTTTTGAAAGTACTAACTTCTTCTACCCAAATGGGTTTCCAACTTCAATAGGGATGCATCGGATTCGATTGTATACAGCTACAGGAAGAGCTTCAATGGTTTTGCTGCAATGTTGACACCTGAGGAAGTGAAAAAGCTGGCTGGTGACTAACCATTGACTCCAAGTTCTCTTATATTCCATTATCCTTAGAGCACATGTGCATTTTCCTTATATCATTTCCATTTCCCAGGAATGGAAGGTGTGGTTTCAGTTTTCCCCAATGGGAAGAAGCAACTCCACACTACAAAATCATGGGCCTACGTTGGACTGCCTGAGAAGGTTGTAAAGAGAAGTGCTGAAAGTGACATCATCATAGGAGTTCTGGACACTGGAATCTGGCCGGAATCCGAAAGTTTCAGTGACGAAGGATTCGGTCCACCCCCACAAAAATGGAAAGGATCTTGCTCATCAGGGTCAAATTTTCATTGCAACAAGTAAGGTTTAGAGTAAAAAATAAATTAATGTCTGAGCCCAGGTTCGAACTGGGGACCTTTAGTGTGTGAGACTAACGTGATAACCAACTACACCACCCAGACAATTTGATATCAGAAAGTCGAATTATTTATATACTAACTATGAACAATTCTGAACGATTCTATACTTGCAGCAAAATAGTGGGTGCAAGGATCTACAGAAGCGCAGGAAAGCTGACGAGCAATAAAGATGTGATGTCGCCAAGGGATACACAAGGCCACGGATCCCACACAGCCTCAACAGCAGCAGGGAACTTCGTGGCGAAGGCAAGCATGGAAGGCCTAGGCAAAGGAACAGCAAGAGGAGGAGTTCCTTCAGCCAGGATTGCAGTCTACAAAATCTGTTGGTCTGAAGGTTGTTATGACGCAGACGTTCTAGCAGCATTCGACGATGCTATCGCTGATGGAGTCGACATCATCTCAATCTCCATCGGTGGGACGAAAGCCTACGATTACTTCACCGATGCCACAGCAATCGGATCCTACCATGCTATGAAGCATGGCATCCTGACATCAGTTTCTGCTGGCAACGAAGGTCCTGAACTTGGAACCGTGACAAATGTCGCGCCTTGGCTTCTCTCCGTGGCTGCTATCACCGTTGACAGGAAGTTTGTGACCAAGGTTAAGTTGGGAAATGGACGAGTCTTTAAGGTGAGCAAGCAATTAGTGATTCAGAATCAATGTTTGCTACCTTAAACAATGTTTGATCAAACTAATAACTGGGTTCTGAATGCGCGACAGGGTACTTCGATTAACACGTTTGATCATGGAGGAAAGATGTATCCTGTTGTTTATGGTGGGAATGCTCCAAATTCCACCGGAGGATTCAATGCATCCATGTCCAAGTAAAGGAAGAAGTTTATATATATGTTGCGGCAATGGCTGGATTTGCCATGATTGATGAATGATGATTGCTTACTGTTTTGTGGTCTCAAATGCAGGGATTGTAGCAGTAACACGTTGAGCAAGAAACGAGTCAAAGGGCGGATTGTGCTTTGTGATAGTGTAAATTCAGGGGAAGGTCCAGCGGCCGCTGGAGCAGCAGGTTCCATAATGTTAGCACAAGAACAGCAACTTGTGGCTAGCAACTTCCCTCTGCCAGCTTCGACTGTTTCTGGTTCCGATGAGATATCGAGATATGTTATGGAAAAAAGGTGTGGAACAGATCTTTGATTTCCTAGAGACGAAGCTCGTCGTGTATAAACATCTTTATTAATTTCGGCCTGACTAAGTCTCTGCTGAAAAATTAACAGGAACCCAACAGCAACCATATTCAGGACAGTTGAGAAGAAGTCTGAAGCTTCACGAATTGTACCGGGGTTTTCATCTCGAGGGCCAAATGCTATAACACCTAACATTCTAAAGGTATAATATATCCATGGATTAGTACTTTTCCCCACTTATAATGATTGATTTTGAGTGTCAAAGACTGAATATTTACATGATTGGTGCAGCCTGACATTGCAGCACCAGGAGTGGACATCCTGGCAGCATATTCCAGGGGGAAAACAGCAACAGGCATCGAAGGGGACAAACGAGTAGTTTCTTACAACATCCTGTCTGGAACTTCCATGGCTTGTCCGCATGCAACTGGAGCTGCTGCTTTGGTCAAATCCTTCCATCCCAATTGGTCCCCTGCTGCTCTCAGGTCAGCTTTAATGACCACAGGTATTGTTGATTTATAATCCCTAATCAGTCATTCCACTTCTTCATTAGTTCCATTTCAATCTTTAGTTTCCTGACAACCCATTTCTGCTGTTGCAGCCTCTCCTGTCAGTCGGGACCAAAATCCTGACGCGGAATTTGCATACGGGGCAGGGCTCATAAACCTGAAGAAGGCCGCAAATCCTGGACTGATATACGATGCTAGAGAACACGATTACGTCGAGTTCTTGTGCGGGCAAGGATACAATGCAACGGAAATCAAGCTGGTAACTAGCAAAGCTGTGGATTGTTCTAAAGGAGGCAAAAAGATACAAGCTTGGAACCTGAACTACCCTTCTTTCACCCTGTCAGGAAAACCTGGGGGAACTGTGAAAAGGGTGTTCCGAAGAACTGTGACTAATGTTGGGAAAGGGCATTCCAAGTACAAGGCAAAAGTGATGTCCTCTAAAGAGCTTAAGATCAAGGTGAACCCAAAAGTGCTTAGGTTTAAGGAACTGGGTGAAACGATGTCGTTTCGTGTCACGGTGAAGGCAAAGCTAAAGCAGAGTGGGATCGTCTCTGGTGTTCTGGTTTGGTCTGATGGATCTCATAAAGTCAGGAGTCCAGTTGTTGCTCATACACTACAATAACCTTCATTTTCTGGGTTTTTTTTTTTTTTGCTAAATACACTTGCATAGCCATAACTTTGCAATTTGTGACAATAATAGCCAACTTTTTAAAAATACACTGAAATAGCCATTCCGTCCATAACTTTAACAGAAATTTCAAAGATGCAGACTAGACTAACGATTTTTGATGACGTGGCATTTTTCGTCCAAAACAATTTGAGGTGAAAATGGTTATTTTCTTATTATAATTAAATGGAAAATTAAACAAATAAATAAATAAAACAAAATATGTGCCTTCCTCAGTTGCTCGTGAAACTGAAACCCTCTCCTTTTCCCCTGTAGTTTCATTCCCATTTCTTCTTCTCCGCCGTAAATACTCCGGCTTCTTCTCTCCAGGAATTCCTTGAAGGATGAGGCCGGGAGGACTGGCGGCTTGCTCTTGGTACTCTTTTCCTTGCCCGCTCATCATCTTCTTCCACCAAAAAGGAATTCTTTACCGGCCGAACTACATAGCCAAAGCCACCACCAATTGAAGGTACGATATCCCAACACCACTCCCTTTGGCGCTCGATTCATCTAGAGGAGTACTAAATCACCTGAGGAAGCTAATTGGGAGTCTGAGATTTGTACGAGTTCTTCAGATCTGGTTACAACCGAGAATCGAATGTGAAGAGGTGGACGTTCCGTTCATCGCAAAGGAAGCTGCCCTCAGTCGATGGCGGCAAAGCTCAAAACCAAGTTCAATCGACAAAGGAATCCATCGCCGAGGAACTCTATATTTTTCTTCTGAACCTAGGTTGCCAAAACCCAGACCTTCTTACGGAGCTCATAGCGATGAATTAGAGCGAGGAACTCTGTTTTGCTTTCTCCAATGACTTCTTTTGTATTAGGATGGTAAATAAAGGAAATGGGTTTGCTTGATATTGATATGCATGAACAAGTTACACGAGGAAAGATTAGTTGTCCCCGGTCCCGGTAGTAGTTGTGAGCGAAAAAGTTAAACTACTCATAAGGTTTGTGAGTAGATACTTACAGAGACAACAAAGAAAAGGATAAACAAAAAGGAGAAGGGATGGTCCATTAAATTCCCAACCACCTTTAACTCTCTAACCCTCTTTCTCTCTCTCATTTATTTTTTTAATGGATATTGGTCAGTGATAGATTATTTTTTTATGTATTGATATTAGTATGTGATTATAAGATATAATGATATTCATGCGATGGATATTAGTTTGCGAAGTAATGGATATTGTGTCTTCCATCAAAACTAAACATATTATCAAATCCTAACCCATAAGGGTTGCAACCTTAGTTAGGGCTGCCCGCCGAGGGCCCATGGGCCTTTGGCCCATGAAACAATAATATTTATTTGCAATGAATGGAGATTAGTTTAGGTGGTTCGAATATGTGTAGTTGGTATTAGTCTGCAATGGTCAGATATTAACCTGTTCGTCGTGGGTATTTGTCTGCGATGGTCAGATATTAATCTGTTCGTCGTGGGTATTTGTTTGCGATTGTCAGATATTATTTTGTGTGAGGTGGGTATTAATCTCTATGGAGAGGATATTAATTATGGGCTGACTAGATATTGGTCTTAGAGGATATTTGTTATGGTGAACGGATATTATTCTCGGTGGGTTTGATATTTATTTTGTGTGGATGTGTTATTCTGACAAAGTGATGGAAAGAGAGAAGGAGACTTGCATGTGGTTTTTTTTTTAATTTGTGGGCCCCCTTTCTCTGTAACTATGGTGAGAATGGGCCAACCTTTTTTTAATTTCTAGGCCCCTTTTTCTCTTTCTGTGAGTATATACTCACAACTTACCTTGTGAGTAGCTTAACTAGGTTGGGTTGGGAGCAAGAGAATCACGAGATTGGGGGAAAGGGCTTGTATGGGAAATTAGGGTTTCTTCAGGAAAGGGGGATTTTCTTGCTGCAGCAGGCGGTGGTAGCCTGGTAGGGGTAAGTTATTTATGATTTTCTTATTAAAATTTAATTAATGAATTTTTTTATTATAATAAAATAATGAATTTTTAATCAAAATCTGACATGGCGTCCAGATGATGTGGGTGTGTCTTATGGAGCTGACGTGTGAGTTCACGTTATGGACGGAGTAATTGACGGCGTTAAAGTTTTTAACGGAAATGGCTAAATTTGTCAAACTAGTTTTCAAAATGTGGCTATATTTGTGTATTTTTCAAAAAGTGGCTATATTTGTCAAAAACGTAATTATGGCTATACAAGTGTGTTTTGCCTTTTTTTTTTACTAAATAGATGTTGGTTTAACTCAAATATATATATTCATTGGGATAGGAAATAACGATGAACTCAACATGTCCAAAGCATGCATGCAATTTGGAGTCTGGATGTATTTTCTAAGGATAGGTTTAAAAGTATCAACATTAATTCGAGCTCGTTTGAAGTTTTGGGGCTTCTATTTGGGATTTATGTGTCAAGGCGTCCGAACTTCATGGTATCTTTATAAAGCTTCTTTATTTTGCAACGACAAACTTAAAGATACTTGAAACTCTGTAGGGATACTAACAGTACTTTGGACATGTGTCAATGAGTTTTTAGGTTTCGGTCGAAATCAAATAGCTGATAATTGAGTATCTTACACACATCTAACAGTTGAATGACTATGAGAGTGCAAGGAGAAAGTTGTGAGGATATAATTTTGAAGCTTACATGGACCTAAGATAACTTTATTGAAAGTAAACAATAAATCAACCACTTAGTAGGTATTAATTATGGAAAGAAATAACTTAACCTTAGTGATAAGCTCGATTATGAAACTAAAAATTGTAACGATACCAACTTCTCGATTTATGTCAATAGTGAATAGATCGCCTAGATTCAAAGGTTTCCAACTATATATTTCCCTATTTAACCAAATCCAAGCCTATTTGTCACCCGAAACTTGGGTCCACACGATCCTCTTAATTAAGGACGATCGAGGTGGTAAACTTGATTCGGAAATACTGATACCACACCCTTGATACCTGTGACAAATACATTTAGGATATAGCATCATATATCTCAAACTCTAAATATTAAATAATACCCAAAATTAATTAAATAAAACATAATAACTTACTTGCTAAATGCTTTGCTTCAGTTTCACTGAGTTTTGCTGCAAACCCACTTGTATAGCGATAGTCATAGACAAGAGATTCCTCTGGTTTGCTATATCAAAGACATAGGCAGTCAAGAAAAAAAAGAAGGGTGTAACGGTGTCTGAAATTAACCCTAGCTAGCTAGATGATTCATGGAGGAATAAAAATTGTTACTGCAGTAATATTTTATATTGTTGAAGCATACATGTCTTGAAGCACAGTCTTCAGAAGATCCAGATGTGCAGGTTTGGTACTAGGTATAATCTGTGAATCCAGAAATACCAAGTAAACCTACAAAACAGAGGAGTTAAGAATTTTATGGATTGTAAAGTCTTACAGGAAAATTTGACGATAAAATAATTTTATGTTTGAAATTTTTGTTTAACCGTGATTTAATCATTTCATATTAATAAAAACCTCCTATCAATTTAACCTCTAATAAAAAATAATTTCAATCGGACCACTGGTATGATACAATTTCACCAACATCAAACAATTTACACATTTGAAAGCAAAAGCCAAACTAATAAGTCAATAGATATGATTATCAACAAAAGGGGGAAATAAAAAAATAAGATTCCAACTAATTGCTGGAACTTTACTTAACCTTACCTTCCTAGGAGTAATACTAGCCGTGTGGCCATGAGTAATGGCAGTAGAAATGAAGATGATGATAAAGGTTTTTACTAGAGGGACAAATCGTAGAGTTTTTGCCACAGCCATTTCAGCGGGTGATAAACAAATGAACGAGTCGACTCTTTTTTTTCTTTTGTTTTTGTTTTTTCCCTTTCCTCAAAGTTAGATCATATATATAATACTAGCTAGGGCAACAAATTAAGTGTTATTTTGTCATCAGTTATGCAAATGTAGAGTATATAACACAACATTAAAGTTAAACATTAATAATGTTGATGAAGAAGACAAACTGAGAAAATTTAATACCCATCGCAAAAGAATCAAGAGCGAAAAGAAGGAAAAGTTAACCTTTCGAGTTTTGAGTGAGTTTCGTTATCGTTTTACGGATTCGTTCATTCTTTCGGCAATATTATGATTTATTGACATTTTTTTAATGAGAAAAAGCTTTCAACCTATTATGTTGTATGTTTTTTTTTTTTTCATAGGGCTCTTTCATTACGGTGATAATAAGGTATTGAATGACTTCTCAAAATCACTACTAGCTACTTTAAGTAGTAATTGTTGTATATAATTTACAACTATTTTGGTCCCGACCGTCGGTCAGGACAGTATTTCAGCAAAATGTTTTTATAACTTGCATTTTAATTTAATCAAATTTAATGCATATTTGTGCATCTGTCTTATCGATTCATGAAAACTATCAACCGATTCGTGAAAACTAAATGACTTTGCAATTGAATTAACGGTTAATATTTTTTGTCTGTGCCGAATGTTTCTCATCTTTAGGATCCTGGTCAATCTTTTCAATATATAACGTAGCTTGAACAAACTCTAAACTTTATTTGACTGGCCAAACCGAGAGTTGACCATCATGTCGAACGTTTAAGATTGTTGACTAATAGTCAACTCGTCATATTAGCACTCGGTTAGCATATTTTGACTAAAAATGATCCTAGTTTTGACCTTAACGTGATGCAGTGGATGTGCTATGAATCCAAAGATCTTGATAGAGTGGTTAGTATATCGTCAACCAAAAAACTTGTTTATTCTAACGAACTCTTATATGCCATAATGCATATAGGAGAAGAACACAAATCACCGACTCGAAAGGAGATTCTATGGTATCTGGCTACACATTTTGGATACCGTGCACTGATAATTGTCGAAAACGGCTTAATTGCAAGTTTGGTCACTCGAATTGCTTAAAAATTTCACGTTTGCCACCCGAATTGATTTATTCCATTTATGGTCACTCGAATTGGTTGAACA